CCGACCTCTACTCTTCAACTTTCCAGCCATATTAAGATCTTGATAAAAGCCATCCTGTGTAGCTCGACATGGTGCACTCTCGTCGTAATGGTACAGCTTACCCAACGCATATTTTGTCATCCATCAGAGCCTCAGCGCCGAAAATAGCTAATCAATCGAAAAAACCTTTCGCTTCACTCCGCTATGATACTGGGGCTCTGATCCGTAGGCTGGAACTTCGTGGTTACCCTAGGATTCACCGCATACGCTTTCGGTGTTCGAAGTATCGCAAGTGTTTGTGGTTTATCTACGCGCCGCTCAACGAACATACAAATACACGTTTCTGATTTCACTCAGTAGATCATCATCACATTATATCTCGGAATTATGCTTGTATTCGATTAACGCTTCTCATTCACTACCATTTGGTCTAATTTAATTGAACTGTAGTTTTCCCTTTATGCAAATTACAATGCTCGTAAGTGCACAGGGGTCCCCGATGTTTGTATGCAGATCTGTGTCACTGAGGAATTTTTCGAAAGGAAACAAAATCTACAGTGTCCTTATTGCTGTTGACTTATGAGCTATTCGAGGCTGAGCGAAAAGAGCAATTATTGGTTCTTTTCCACTGTTGTAAATAGTTTGATTTCAAATTCGATGTAGCCAATTACTATCTGGAAAGTTGGTACTTGGAGCATTCCAGGTCAGGAATATCAACATGCACTGCTATTTTTATGGTGTCAATGATANNNGAATTTGCACATTGTTCATAAAAGTGACTTCGGTTAATCAAGTAATTGAGCATGTTGGGAGATGTATTGAGGTTCAAACAACCGAGGGTAGATCAATCGCCTGATTGAAGATAGTTCCACTTGGGATATTCCTTCACGGTTGTAGACTCTTAACCTCGTTTTTTCGTTCCAGTATCTGGTTGTCACTTATGTTCTCATTCCTGTTTTTCATCATGATGTGTTTAATACAGTCTGAAAAACAAACCAGTATGAACGGAATGTAGATTCAAGCACTTTGTCCTGATTACTGAAATTTCCCATAGTAAGTTAATTCCGTCCATTAGGTATGATGTTCATCCCGTAGAATTCGTTCAGACAGCATGTATTCCTTTGGAATTTGTAATGCTATATGCTATTTCACCTTTTATCTGTTGGTAGCCGGGACATTCTGTGATGTCTGGTCCAGGTGGGGTTGGTGGACCACCAGGTGCAGGACCTGGAATGCCACCTCCGTTGGGTCCACCTGGTCCTGATCCTGTATCCATGCGACCGCGTCCATCGGGCCCACCGTTAATCCCGGGAGGTGGAATTCCGCCCGGTGCTGGTCCCGGGCTTCAAGGTCCTTCTCCTCACCATCCCTCTATGCGGTTTCACCAAGCGGGTGCTGGAGGTTACCCTGGCCTTCCTGTGGGTGGCGGAATGATTCCACCCCATGCAAATTTGCTTCCTGGTGCTGGACCACCTCATCCAATGCATGGTGGCCCGATGTTACCACAACATCATCACCATCCTCCTGGGGCAATGATCGGGCATCCGCGTCCGCGGTGGATGGGTCCGTCCGTACCGCAACAGGGCCAGTCTCAGCCTGGTGGTCCCCCTGGACCTCCACCTCAAGGAGGCGCAGGAGGCGGAGGCCCTCCAATAGTCTGCTCCGGCTCAGCAGGTCCGAATTCCGTTTCATCCGCAGGTCCCGGAAGCGTCGGTCCAGTTTCCGGTGGAGGTGCGGGTGCCGCAGGTGGTGGTGGCGGTATTGTCCAAAGCCCTGGTCATCCAGGAACGCCCAACCAACACGTACCACCGCAACACTTAGCTGCTCCGAGTCCTATCAATAATCAGGTATGCATTGTAGAGTCATCATTCGGAAAGCTTATTTACAGTCTACCGTTCTTGATAATTGTTTGAATAACACGGAGACTAAGCACCCATCTCTTTGCAACCGCTCTTCTCAATTTTTAGTCATTATTCTGTTTGTTATGCCCGGAGTTCCCAGTGTACGTACACTGCTCCGTTCAGTCCGCGTTCTTTGGTTCCATTCTGCACAACCGTTAAATCTTTGTTGTTATGCTTCTCTGGTTATGGACTTTCGGTGGTAAGCAGCTTTGCTGTCGCCCGGCTCTTTAACCACGCCTGACTTAGCAGGATTAGGTTACCGGTTGAAATCTCTAAACAGCGGGTTTTCGTGACTATGGGTTCCGCCCCGTCTGCTGTTCATCACAGACTTGTGTGATAAATAAAATTGGCCGGAGCACCGAATCTGATACTTAATTTGCCTTTTAGACATAAACTGGGCAACTGCCTACCAGATGTGCATCACTAGTCGAGCGTTTTTCAAGAAATACCTACAACCCCCAAGGTCTTCATTTAGCACTACATCACAGTCCTCAGTTTAGTAGCTGACACCCTGGCGCCACTGTTCGGGTACGAAGATGAAGCATTCTCTGGTGAAAAAGCGCTTCGAATTCCCATCATAGGCGTCCTACGAATTGCAAGATTCAAAATTCTAACATTGACACCATTACCCAACAGCTTCACTGTGGGGCATAGGTGTTTCGCCACTACAAAGCCCAGGGATTAACTGGTCACATCCTATGACCAAACAGATGAACTTCGTGGCTATGGAATCCGGTGATCATACCAAGAATGGTAAATAGTTCCTAACGGGTCAACCAGTTATGGACCCCATTGAGGCTGCCACTCCGATTTGCCCTCACATAATCTTGATTCCCAAATACATTCACGCACCAACTAATGAGGAGCGTCGAAACTATACAGTCAGGCGCAAACCGTAGGTCTCCTACTTCTACGTCCATCTAGCGGTTTTTGGACGGTAAAGGGCCCCTCGTGTTTTTTTTGCTGGAGTGGGTAGTCAAGGGAATCCAGGTGCAAAAGCAGCTGGTCTTGTGAGACTGATCTTCGTCTGGCGACCTGGCAACACGGACACAATTTAGTTTCGGTAAGGAAGTCTTGCAGCCATTTCGGCATGGTCTTACCTACGCCAAAGCTGTACAGCTTTCACAGGCGGTTGTCTGGCTCTTTATCGAAGGCATTGAAGTCTTGAATCAGTACACGGGTGCGAGGCTCAATGGCCCCGGATCTTGATGTTNGATGTTTTCTAAAGTTTCTTTTGGTCCTGCGTCCCGATTCGCCGGGTCCGTTCGAGGTTCCACTGTGGCGGTCGTTGGATAGTGTTGGATTAGAATGGAGTAGAGAGGTGGATTATTGTGTATCCGTGACCTTTGAGTCCAAGAAGGTTACCTGAAAGGTGATAAGAATATGAGATAATACGAGAATTACGGCAATCAAGTGGCGCGCATGCCTTTGCCCATGATTTTCANTCGCTACTGAGGTGATAATTCAAGCGAAGGCAAGTTGGAAAACTGGGAACGACTTGGGATAACTTTAGTGAGCAAATAAATTTACTAGTCCTTAATCATTAATGATTTGTAGTCGTTGACTCTTGACGTGACGCAGCATAGGCAGTAGACATAGTCTACTTAGACTTTTACAGAGCTTTTGACAAGTTTAACCACCATATATTGCTGCGAAAGCTCCCTAATTACGGTGTTCGAGGACTGCTACTGGGCTGGATTGAGGACTTTCTTCGACAACGTACCGTATCGGTTCAAGTTAATGGTTCTCTATCGGGACCGATTGAGGCTGTCCGTGGAGTTCCACAAGGATCCGTAATCGGTCCGTACCTTTTCCTAGCATTCATAAATGACTTACCAGATGTCCTTGGAAAAAAGGCATTATTATTCGCTGGTGACGCCAAAACATGGGAGACGGTAAAATATCCTTAAGATTATGAAACCCTACAGGGAACTCTCGACGCAGCTTATCGATGGTTCATCATTAATGACATTGAATTCAACGTTGAATAATGCAAGGTTGTGTCGCTGCGCCACAAGGGTCGTTTTCCATACTTGAAACTCAGCCATTGCCGCATTTCCCAAACGAAAAGCACCTGGGATTTATCGTTCGTGAGAATCTAGGATGTTCCACATATTGCGCAAGAGCTTCTTCAATGAAATTGTCATGGGACAATTTTATTCCCAAGTAGTGATATATATATTGAGATGTATTGGCATGAATACGAATCTTTGAAAACGAGCTTGTTTGCCACTGTTTTTTGTTTGAGATGTCCAAACTGTCATGTCTGTTCGTTATTTAAGGTTTTCGAAACTAGTTAACGTAACCATTAATTTCCAACTTTTTAACGACGGAACTTCATTTGAATTTTGTTTATCAAACGATCGCGAACGATTCATATCCAACCGACCTGTTATCATAAGTAAGCATCCCGTTGAGTTTATTTTGTTTTGTATTTTTGTAAACAGTAATCCTTGTTACGCAAATACTTCCACTTTACTTGAATTGACCAGTTCAGGCTTCATTGCGATCAGAATAGTTATTGTACGTTTCATCTCACAAACCCCTACACTTTTCGTTAGAACAATTGCCAACCTGGTGAGCATCCAGGGTCTGGAGGTAGTCTTCCTCCCGGACATCCACATCACCCTACACCACCACATTACGTGGTTGGCCAACCACCACAACAACAAACTCCCCCTGCCTCATCCAATGCTTGCTTGCCACCAGAGTACAATACTCGACCATCTCCGCATCTTGTATTTAGTGGCGGACCCGGCTCTACGCCCGACAGTAACATGTTCGGTGCTGGACCGGGCGGTGCTGATTCTGGGATGATGAACGGTGGAGCCAACAACAATAGCGGTGGCGGTGGTGCAGGCGGTGGAGGCGGTGGCCAGCTTCCTCCTCGTAGTAGCGGGATGATGCCCCCACCGCCGCCAGACTACGGAGGCATGCCTGCTGTTTCCGGTGGCTATCCCCAAGGGCCAGATCTAAAAGCATCCCCGCTTCATGGTGGCCCAGGGATGGGATCAGATATGATGAGTTCGTCTGGTGGGCCTCCTCCTCTCATGCCATCCGAATATTCATCAGGGAACGGTCCCGGGGGTAATGGAGGCGGACCTGGTGGTGTAGGATTTGGCGGAGGACCACCTCCGGATACTGTAATGATGATGCCCCCACCTCCACATCAACAAGCCGGTGTACTTCAGCAACAATCGCAACAACATTTAGTTAGCGCCGGGGGACCTCAGGGACAAGCTCCACCACCTCCGCCTCAGTACGTACCTTCAGGTACACAACACTCTAATTCGACTGGTGGCTCAAACTCTATGCAACAGTCTGTTTGCGGTGGCGGCGGTGGTAGCGGTGGGAGTGGCGGAGGATCCAATCCCAGTCCTGCAGGTGGCCCCGGTTCCGTGCAGTTTCCCGTGAGTTGTTATTTTGTAACCCTCCAATGTTTTTTTAAAATTACAATGCATTACAACGCATCAGTGTTTGATTTGATAAATTTGGTTTCGATGCATTTCTTCTGTCGGTTGATCGGCAAAGAATGCGTACATAACCAACCCCATTTTCAGCGAACCCTTAGGTGGTTTGTAATGATTGCTCAGCTCCATTCAATTTTTCATTGGTACACTGTATACTGGCTCCAATTTGACTGCGATTTGTAGTACACTTTACCGTTTTGGTCTTGACTATAGCTGATTGTGGCATTTTAGGTTTGCTTTGTGATTACATAGATTAAACATTCGATGAATCGGGCGGATTAGCGTTGCGCTCGCGAAAAACAGGTTGCCTTTTATTTTACAATCATGTTTGCATCCTGATTCGTTTTTACCTAGATCGTGGATCATGGGGATCACCCCTTTTACTGCATTTACTTTCGTGTAATAAAAATACAAATGTAGAACACATTGCACAACGTAGTTTTTACATCCCGAATTCAAATGAGCTCGTATCTGATGGCTTCACATGTAGAGTGAATAATCACCGTATTTTCCTTAACGCCCAAGTTGTTTTATTCAGAGTACTTGACCTCGACCGACTGATATGCTAAGATAAATGAGCGGAGGTTGGTGAAAGAGTAGTCACTTTTTTCTGGGTACCTCTACTTTTGGTTCAGATGAATGTAGACTAAAGGCTAATGTTTGATTGCGAATGATTTCCAGAGAGCTCATTCTCCACTGGACGAGAGTATACGAAACCCACGATCCCTTATTAGTTGGGTAGATCTCATTTGTACCCTTTGAATCAGACACTAAAACCCATTCGTCCTCTAAGAGGTAACTATCCTGGAATACCGTAGACCATCTCACGAATGAGTTCAGACATCGATTACCCTCAATTTGGTTTGTTCTGTCTGTGCACCGATTTTCCAGAGTTTAGACGCTGATGCATACCTCAGCTAGGATTAAGGTAAATCATGGAAAACAAAAGTGGAATGTAACCCAGTCTCCCACCTCAGAGGTGCTCATCCCTTCAAATCAGTTTCAGTTTTTACAGCCAGTAACCCTGCTTTTTAATGTGCCGGTTTTGGTTGCTCATTTGGGTGAGACAATGGGAGAAAGACGGGAAGGTTAAAGGTAGAGTTGGAGAGAAAATGGTTACAAAGAAATTGAAATGCGCAAATGCCTCTGTTTACTACACTCAGCCATATGACTCAGTATCTTTAACCATTGATTACAATGATCCCGGGGTCCCCATCCAGGCAACCTAATGTGACTTATCTGGTCGGGAATATACGGACGGGCTAACTTGACCAATTTCTATTCATTCCTAGCTTCAGGTCTTGGTGATTCGCATCCTCGGTACATTACACCATAACCGTACACGTATGTATTATTGCACTAAATTGCCAAATAAAGCAACACCCAAAGTTCGAATAGTGATAATATGGTGTAGATTGGTGTTCAAATCTGTCGGAACAATTTGCGTTATGGCGTTCATTTTTATTCTTGTCCCCTTAAGATGAACACAATGAATCATGACCAGTTGAACGTATTCAGTTACCCATTGGGAAATTTCTTGATGATTTTTTTCTTATTTTTTTTTGCTTTATAGCAAGAATATTCGTTTGGACAGTTGTCGTGAAACTCGCCCCTGTGCCCCTATCCATCTGAAGACGTCTGTGGGTGAGTGCGTTCGTGATTTGTGTTTGTTCTCTGTGCTCTATAGACCACCAAGTTGTTCGAATCCACTAACCAACCATAATCACCCGGTTGACATCATGTATACTTTTTGATTCACTACCTACCGCCTGTTCCCGCACTTCCTTTAGCCAATGGTTTCTCACTTATTCCTTTTTCACACAGTAATTATCCCCGTTCGGACTGATACACGGGCCAATGGATATCCACACGGACCATTGTTCTTATGCATTTATGAGTGGGTTCGTCTGGTTCACTCTGCCCACAGCTACCGAGTGCACTTACCTACGTNCAATTTCCGACTGCCACAAATCACCCGTTATTGCCGACCACGTTTGTCTACTTCCGTTCGACAAGAGAAAGTTCGTTTCTCAGGACCGTGAAAATCACGTGTCCGCCCAACTTCAGACTTCATACAAAAAAGGCCCTAAATTTCCTCCTGCTCTTATTGGGTCGTATAATTCAGTCTGGTTTTTTGTTGTTCTTCTTGTTGTTGTTGTTGTTGCTCCAACATCAAGTGGCATTGGATCTCTTGTCTCTTGCTGCTACTGCTGCTGCTGCACATCACTTTTTAATTCTTGGTTCTGTGCGTGTTTAGGATTCTCTTCTCTCTCT